AAATCTCTACATGTTTTATCATGGAAGGATAAATCAAATGCGCATGCGTAAAGTATTAAAAAAAAAAAAAAAAAGTTAAAAAGTTTGTGGTTTTGAGTTCCGTATTTTAGATCATTCCGTATTTTGGACTTTGTATTGTAATAATAATAATAATAATAATAATAAATGATAATCAAGTTTATGGGACTCAAAATGTCTTGTAGCAAATGTTTTAAATGCGCAATTGTATAATAAAAGTAGATTATATGTATATATTAAGAGTTTGCTATTTTGCAGAGAAGGGCCAAAGGTGGTGAATTATTTGATAAAATTTGTGACACCTTGAACATAATGGAGAAAGATTATTTTGGATTGACGTATCGTGATCAAGAAGATGCAAGGGTATATTTTCATTAAGTTTTTTCCTCCCTCATATAAGCTGTTATTTTAGACTAAAGTAACATCTTTGCTAATTTCCTTTCTTCTTTATCTCTACAGAATTGGCTAAATTTTGATAAAAGGATTAGCAAGCAAATCAAAAGTAGGTTTTTTTACCCATATACACATATTAGAATAAAAAAATTTGTATAAAAGTGTATTTATTGTATACTTTATGACATCTGAAAAAGAGTTTTTTTTTTTTTTTTTCGTTTAATTAAAACATTTTTGTGACCTGTTTTTGCGACTGAGTTGCCATTGCAAAAAAAGTTTTGATACATGTGTACTATCAGTCGTAAAAATACTATTCGATTGCATTTGGCCTATTTTTAAATACTAACAAATGAGGTAAAAAAATAATAATAATACATCTCTCTATAGCTGAGAATAGCAAATCACATGTATCAAGGTGCTCTATTTATAAAGAAATCAGACAGAAATTATGATTTAAGAAAATAATATCACATAATAAATTAAATTTGCTAAAACTCCAAATGACTTGCGTTATTCAGTAAGCTAAATGCTGACAGTAGCCATCATTGCTTTTCAAACACTTGATTTCCATATGAATTCCATTGGCTGTCGCCAAATATGTCTTTGATGGTAGTGTCTCTCATCGAATGTATGAGGATATACATCTCGTATGTATCTGGCAAGCTGGAGATAATGTATCCCTTGGTAAACAGATTTGCATGGGTGCCACAGACTTCTAGAGATATGTATTTGAAGATAAGCCTTTAGTCATAGCATTGTAAATGTAGAATGTGCTGCCATAGTACGAATGAACTCAGCCATCGAAAGGTGAATATGCAGCCAAAGTAGAAGTGTAACCTGCTGTGTGTTAATGAAGTGTGGGATGTTGAGTGTGGCTGTGGCCAAATATTGTGCTGTTAGTAGTGGGCTCTTGCATATGTGTGAAGATATGGGATGATGATTGGCAGACAACTCTTGCCATGCCAAAAACAATATTTTCTGTGCCAGGGTGTTTGATCTGGCTATATATCTTAGAACAGGCCATTTGAGATGTCTGTTGTTTCAGACACTGGGACATTGAAGTAGTTGTGACCATGTGTGTCCACTCTATTCATCCATCTTTGACCTATTAATTTCATGATTTGTTGAATTTTGACCAACGCGAATTAACAGTTGGGTTATGCTGTGCTATTATTCTGCTGTAATGGTGTCCGAACATTGTGGTCAAAAACATCGCAGAGAAAGCAATGTAAGGGATGAAAACATCTTGGAAGAAAAGAAAGCAAAGAGAAAACATCACAGTTCTAAAACATTGTAGTACAAAATATTGCTGTCGAAAATAAAGCTGTTGAAAAACTTCGTAGTTTAATAACAGCATCATCTAAAATATCGTGCGTCTTTTGGGCTTTAAAAGCTGTAAATGCATATTCACATAATGATCTTCCTTTTTCTAATCTTTTTTGGACTTTATTTTTCATGAAAAATTAGCAGTAAAACTTTATAAAAAATTATTAATTTATAAATGATATTTTCTATTTAACTATGTAAGTTACATTAATTTTTTACTCATTTTCAGTTTTTAAATGCGTAAGTTTCCTTCTTACTGCTTCATCAAAAATTATTAGTTAATTCAAAAATATGAAATATAAAAGTAAAAATATGTCTCTTTCCTTCTTGTACTCACAAATCATTATGCGAATATGCCTTTACAACTTTTAAAGCCTGGAAAACGCATGTCTGCGACATCATCATGCGATGATTTGTTAAGTGCTTTATTTTTTACCACGATATTTTTTAACGGCTATGTTTTTTAAACTGTGAAATTTTTTAACCGCTTTCTTTTGGGAGAGAATTTTTTATCACAATGTTTTCTCTTTATTTTCTCCCATGATGTTTTGTACAATGATGTTCTTTCCTTGCACTGTTTGCTCCGTGATGTTTTTGTCTGCGATGTTTTTGGCTGTAACCTCCTATAATCATATGTGGGCACATGTTACTATATATTCCGTCTTCTTATTTGAAGCATATTGTTTACTTCTGATTAAAAAAAAACAAGGAAGAAATCTGCCACTGATATAGAAAACCTAGTGGTGTTATAAGCACTAATTTGCATAAATGCACAGCATTGGTAGTCCATTTTAGATTCTATTAGTTATCTGCAGATTTCACATTGATTAGTTGGTTCTTTCATAGTGTTGGAAATGTAATGGTTAGCAGTATATATGTGTGTGTATGTAAGATAAAAATCTGTAAATAAAAATTCTGTCTTTAATTTCAAGTAGTGTCTTATCTGTTCCCTTTGATTTGGATATATTCTCGTTCTGTCCTAAAAATAGTAATTTCTTATAATCAAATTTTCTAAACTGTGTCGTTTCAAAATTAGTCCATGTCACACACGATTCTTGCATGATGCTAATGATAAGTGCCTGCATCATTAGCATCATGCAAGAACTACTTGGAATTAAAGCTAGAATTTTTATTTACGTATTTTTACACTTATTATATACTGTTAACCATTACATGTCCTTCAGTCAATAATCATTTCAAGTTTGAGAGCCAAGAATTTAGCCAGCGGGGCAAATCTGACCTAAAACTAAATCATTCCGAATTAGAATTTCATCTTGGAGATATTGCGTTCACTTTGTATTTCTCTCTCTAGCTAGATCACTACTTTTCTTAACAGCAGCATTTTAAAGATGTCAAATTCATTCCAGAAGAGGCATGCTTAGTGCCAGCTTATCAATGATGCATCAAAATCAAAGGGTTCATCTGCAGTAATACAGTTGGTTTGTCAAGAAATAAAACTGCTGAATTTAGCTATGACTGCAACTACTATTTATGCTTTACATTTTAACATCCAAATTATTCTGTATGTGGATGGGAAGGGAGACTTTTAGGTATAAGCAGTGGTTTCCAAACGTTTTTGGATTGTGACCCATTTTAAATGCATCGGCCATATTGCGACCCCAAATATGTTCGAACCTCTGTTCTGTTATGCAGTTTTTCTGCAACTTTACAACCCCAAAAATCTTTTTCACAACCTCTAGTTTGAAAACCACTGATTATATATAGTACAGTACACTCCCGATTATCTGTAGAATTGGGTGGCGCGGCCGCCACAGGTAACAAAAATCGCAATTAATCCGAAAAAAGCTAAAAACGGGTATAGCAAAAACGAAAACAGTCATTCAAACTTTGAAAAATTGTTTTATGTATAATAAAATATAAAATAAAGAGCAGGAAATGTTTAAATAACGCTTAATATTTTAGTATATCACTCAAAACTAACCTATAATGCATTTTGTTAATGAAAATGGAAAAGTGCTTTGTACTTACGAGAGGCGTCAAGGATACACAGAAAAATTAATACACATGTACTGTTTTAATACTTTAATGTATTATGTAATTACAAAAGCATAACTGTAAAACTACACCTTTTTGGAGAAATCAGTCATTTGTGTTTGCTTCTTGCTTTGGAAGCATTTTCTCTTGATCCGAGATTGCATTTTTCGTAGCATAACTTTCTCGGCCAACTCCGCGTCGTCTTGTTCTCCCAAATAGCTCAGTAGTCCGTCGACTTGGTGCAAAGCCGCTTCGTGAGTCTTCCGCATCTGGACAGTGGGCTTTTCTTCGCCTTCACTTCGTTCTCCTTCATTCTCGGTCTCTCCCTTTGCTTTCTTCACAATTTCGACATCTGTCAAGCGTTCGAAGCCAGGTTCGTTGACGTCACACTCCAATCACTAGTTAATGTTTTCAGCATCGACGCTCTCACCTCTCGGAACTGTTTTCACCATATCGGCAAGAGTTGTCATCGGCGTGTCTACATCTTCATTCACTTATATTCCATCTAGTTGTGAAGATTCACTACTCAAAGGGGTTAGGTTGTTGTTGGCTTCAACATTGGGCATGAGTTTTCTCCATGATTTTATGAGGGTTGACGGTTTCACTGAGTCCCATGCAGATGCAATATCATAGATGCTGTCCAAGATTGTGTATTGTTTCCAAAACTCTTTCAGATCATAATCTTCTTCAATTTTAGTCATTAGCAGCTTGGTTCGGTATGTTCTCTTCATTGTTGCAATGACTCCTTGGTCCACGGGTTGGATTAGCGCATTAACGTTTGGGGGGAGAAACTTAGCAAAAATTTGTCCATCAGAAGACATCAGCACGCTTGTTGCTGGGTGAGAAGGTGCGTTGTCAATCAATAGCACAGTTTTTTCAGGTATGTTTTCCGATTTCAGATGTTTCCGCACTTGAAGAACAAAGATTTTTTTCGAACCATTCTTAAAAAATGTTTCGGTTCATCCATCCTCTTTTTTATTTATTTATTTTTTATTTTCTATCCTTGTGACTTTGAAAGATCTCGTTTTTTTTTTTTACTTTCCAATGACAATAAGTCTAATTTTTTGTCCACCCGTCGCGTTACTGCAAGACATGATATTGATTCTTTCCTTGCCGCTTTTATGACCCGTCACTTTACTTTCACTTTCAAATGCTAAAGTGCGAGTGGGAAGACGTGTCCACAAAAGTCCCGATTCGTCGGAATTGTAAATTTGTTCAAAAGATAGCTCTTCTTTTAAAACAACAGCTGCTTGTTGGTCACCACTAAGTTTCTCCCCATGAAGTCCAATTTCTTGAATTTCAAGATTAAGACGAGAGAGGGCGGTGGAGCGGGCACTGCAAGGGTGAGTAAGAAATCACTTACTCATCAGAGGGAAAGGTTCCGAGAAGGCCTGGGATATTTTGGCATAAATAAGCACGATGTTAGCTAATTTAACGTTTCGCTCGGTTTTATAAACATTTTTATTTTCTTTGCTTTACGCTTGTAAAAAAAAAAAAAAAAGAAAAAGAAAAAAAGAAAGAAAACTTTGCACCAGGCGCGGATGATCGGTAGTCTACTGTATAAATATTATTATTTGAAAGTGAAACATTGAAACAATTTATGATGCAAAATTTTCTCTTTTAGATGCCCCATGGGTTTTCTGTTTTGAAGTCAAATTTTATCCTCCTGATCCTGCTCAATTACAAGAAGACATTACTAGGTTTGCTGTGCTATTTTGAATGTGCTGTATTTTTTAACTTTCAATAGTTTCTTTAATTTTCTGAAGTGTGTTATACAAATAAAGTATTTCTTTAAAATTTTAAAAATAGGTACCAGCTGTGTTTGCAGATAAGGAATGACATTCTCTGTGGAAAGTAAGTATATTTTATTATTTTCATTTTGTAAAATCTTGTAAATGTCTTTATTTAATTATTATTTTTTTTAAATGATTTACAGAAAACTTAGTGGTGTGTTTATTGGTACTTTTCTGGTAAAGTACAAATCTTGTTTTCAAGAAAAATGCATCTTTTTTATCTGCCTTTTCTTACTTATTAGTTAAGCCATTAGAATATTTTAGAAGTTTGAGGATGTAACAGTGTTAATATGTTTGTTGTAATCTGAGATCTTAATATTTAAATAAATTCTTCTTTTCAATTCATAATTTGTTTTTTGTGGGGGAGGATGCTTTTGTTCCATCTAGTTGTTATCTACTCGTGTATGGAAGTAGCGAAGCTAATGCAGAAAAACTGAACTTAAAATTTAATAGAGTAATTGATTTAGATATTACTATATTTTATGCATTTGTATTGTAGCCGTATCTGATTTATTTATACCTCTACTATAGTGGTAGTCAAATGTTTCTTTTATTATTGTATTACGAGCACTGCCCCTAAATAAATAACATTTGTTGCAGAAGAGTTTAAGTCACCAAGTTTGGTGACAAAAATTAGTCGCCAAAACCATTGCTCGCTTGGCGATATCTCGGGCAGAGCATCGTCTCTTTAGATTTTCACGTTACATTATGCAGAAAAAAATAAAACAATTTCACATATAATTTCACTCAGATTATATATATCTATATATATATATATATATATATAGACAAAATTGGTAACACTATTCTTTGTGGCTTTATAAGAAATTGTGCTTTATTTTGCAATTTTGTCCATTTTGAAATGGCTTGGTGTGATAGCCATAGTGATTGAACTAAAATAATTACTTGTAAGTTGTTAGATTATTCTTTTTGTGGCCGTGAACTTTCAGGTAATAACAGTATAGTAATGTCATTGTATGCCATTGTAAATATTATTTCCTAGTAGTAATACAAAAACTGATGAAAATAATTCGCACATTGAAGATAAATTGGATATGACTGAAATTTACAAAAACCATCTGGAAAAGTCTTTAGGTGAAGCAGATTATTACCATTTGATCTCTCAACTAATGTTCAACATAGTTAAATAAAAAATGTTTGTAAACTTTCGAGGTCGATTAACACAGGCAAGTTCAATTAAAATGCATTAAATTGCAAGACATTCAAAAGTGTCATCTTGCAGAATATTAAAGTGGAGTACTTTCTATCAAATGGTTGCATTTGAGTCACATTTTTTCCTCTTTTCCATTCCTTCCTTTTTTTTTTTTTTTTTTTTTTTTTTTGACGGAGACAATTTGGAGTAGTTTATTTAAAATTTTAATATTGAAATTGACCTCCTATTGACCATTAAAACATAGTTTTTCTTACATCCACCCCTTTCAAAAGGATGGTTGTCTTCAATGACCTGCTTATATTTTTCTTTTTATAATATAGAGCACATAATGTAATTGTAATTCAAATAATTGCACATACATAACTCATAAATAACCTAAAGGTAACATTATATAAGTATATAAATAAATTTTTTTATTTGTGTTTTATTTATTTATTTATATTTTTTAATTATTATTATTATTTGTAATTTTATGACTATGATGTTTTCTGAAACAAAATTTCAGATTCTAATTTCACAAATGTTTGATTCATAGTAGTGCGATGGCTGCTCTTGATGTATTGAATCAGTTTTTTTTTAATATTTATCATAGTATTGCTTAATTTTATTCTTGAATTGCCTCATTCAAAAATATTTAACTGTTTTTGTTTTCCATAGTAAGTTATTGATTTGACAGAAACCTACTTCCACTAGGTAAGGAGAGGGAAGAGTTTATGATGTTCGTCTGGTTACAACTTTTATTTTGAAATATTTCTCTCAAATTACTTTTAAATTCTAACATTTAGTTTACCCATGTGTTTTGAGTGACAGTTGTGCTTGATCATCCTGCATTGTTAGCCTACAAGAAGAACTATTCTGATGGAGAGCAAATAATGAAAAATAGCCTTGCCCAAAATGTCAGAGACATAAACATGAGAAATCTGGTTGATAAAACAGCTTTATCTCAAAACACTGTTATGCATCCTACAGATGATATGGGCCAGAATGTTCGCACACAAATTGTCTCTAGTATTGCAAATTCTTTTCATTAACTTTGGATGAAAGCTTTGACATCACAAACAATGCACAGTTAAGTGCATACTTTTGCGTTACACGAATGATAATTTTGATATTGTGGAAGAAGAATATTTGCTCCAAGTAATTTTAACTACAGGTGAGGACATTTGTTAACAAACTTAAAATGTAATTGAAATAAACAAAGAGTAGAGTGGACAAAATTAAATAATTTTTTCACAGATGGAACTTCTTCCATGGTTGGTAGGATAAAAGGTTTTGTTACATACTAGGGAAATCAAGTTTTTAAAGAGCATCATATTATCCATCAAAGATCTCTTTATGCAAAGGACTTAAACCTGTTTCCTTTTGTTGACTGGTAACACATTGTGTCAACAAAAGGCGAGCTTGAGCTCAGAACCATTGACTATTTCATGAGGTTTTCCAGGAACAAATTGAAGAGGAGGGCAAGTTACTCCTTCATTGTAGTGTGCGTTGTCTTTCCAAAGGAAGTTTGCACTCGCGAGATTTTGTAATTTGCAGGAGTGTGTTTTAAAAGTATCTAGAATAAAATAGTGAACTGCCCAGTGAGTGCTTGCTACTCAGAAATAAAGATTGGTTCTGGGATTTAATTTTTCTACCTGTGTTGGTCATATACCCCCCCTTTTGTGTGTGTGTGTGTGTGTCAACAAACTTTTGCTTTGATGAAAAAAGATTTAACACATTTGTCATTAATGCAGGAGCTATTTATCAAAGTCAAAATGCTCGGAACTATCGAATTTTCAAATCCATTTTATAGGATTCATTCAAAGCTACAAGATAATTTTAAAAAATGATCTTTTCACTAATCCTTTTCCATTGTTTTCAAGACCTGAAATCAGAATCAAAATTATTGACCTACAGTATAATATTACGCAGTAAAGCAAATATATGGAACTTATTTCAAATGCAGATCCAAATTATACTGAATTTCGTTTAGTTTCTACAATAAGCAATTTTCCAAATTTACATGATTTGAATATATAACAAATGTTTTCTATTATGAACATAGTAAAATCAAATATCATTCAAGATTAACGGATATGCACCTGAAACACCTAATGTAGTGTCTTCAAGAACTAAACCTGATATAGATGACTTAAACTATAAATTCAAAAGCCACATTATTTAAGTACTGACCGTTTAATAATTGTTCAGAATTAAATGTTCCAAGTTATTCATTTTTATTTTATACATAACTTGATTGAATTTTAACAATGTTTATTAACAATAAAAACTAAGTTTGTAATTAATTTTATTTATTATATTGTTACGAAATGTACAGTCACAGTAAGATAGCTTATCTGCAAAGCAGTTTGTTTACTTTATTAAACATTTCTTTCAATGCGCGCATGCGTAAAGCATACATTACGCATTATCGAAATTAGAAAATTGTAACCAGAAAACTATTTAATGTGTATTTGTGATATTTATAATGACGAGGAATTTGATTTAAATCATATCAAAGACGGAGTACATCGAGATGAAATACTACATTTAGTAAGGAATTATAAGCCAAATAAAATAAAAACATCTGCCCTGAAGATAAGGACCAACAGAAATACAAATAATACAAATACAAAAGTATAAAAATGTATAAAGAAATCATTTACAATGTTTAAAATAAAAGTCAACAAAATCGTTGAAAACTCGGTAAGCCAAAGCGGAAGAAGATACAAGATCATAACATTTCGGCGACCAATGTATTCCAATTAATTTTAATCTGAACTACAATAGATTTCTTTCAATAGATTCTGACAGATCAACTTCCAGTTCATTGCGCGCCACGACGTCTTCCCACAAAGCAGCGTGAAATTGATAAACAGATTTCGGAATGGTTAGAGAAACAAAGGATATGCCTTTATCCATTTTTTGCAGCAATTCCACTTTTTTTTTTATGTACATCGAAACATGCTTTCACTTGTAGATCCTATGGCAGCTACAGAATAGGAAATTCTTTTTGACATAATTGAAAGTTCAAGCTTACTTTTATGAAATTGCTCTAACAGTCTGCAAAAAATAATAAGCCAGATCCAATTCAAAGATTAAGGAACAACACAATCTGCAACATTAACTGAAATAGATAATTTTAGGTAAGCTTATACCATCTGCTATACACTAAACGCGCATGCGCAAATGTATTATGCGCATGCATAAAGGTTTTATGCACATGCGCAGAAAGTTTGTAGCTTTGAGGTCCGGATTATAGATCATTCCGGATTAAAGACTTTTGACTGTACCATGGACGGATGGATAACCTTCTGGAATGAATTCTTACCGGTTTAGTCCAGAATGTTCTCGAACACAATCCGAAAACTATATAAAACCTGCTGCTCCATAGTCAGTTGTGTGCCTTATCTAGCGAGCTGATAGTCAGTCATTGAGCGAGTTTCTCGAAGTCCAGCGCTGAGTTGGTCATCGAGTGCATCAAAGAGGCTCTTAGTGCATCGTCGAGAGAGTGTGTTAAGCTCCGGGAAAGACTGAATCGAAGAGTCGGGAGCTGTGTTCTGTGTGTCGTCAAGTGCATCGGGAGTTGTAGCGTGGAGAGTCTCGAGAGTATGAGGAGTTCTGAGAACGACTGAGCAGAGTCGGGAGCTGTACTCTGGTGCTTTGCAGTGAAGCTGTCTTCACCGTTATTGCCTGACAGTGTGAAGGCTGTGTCGCTGATTATTCCAGCATGTTTATTGTAGTTCGTCAATGACTGTAACGTGATTTTGGAGCTGTCCTAATTAGTACTGGCTAAATAAAGTGTGTTTCGATATTTCATCAAGTAGTGTCGTCGTTATTCACTCCAAATCCATATGAACCCCGTACGAACTGGTGTGAGGGAAAAAAGTAACAATATTCTTAAATCTCCACCTTTCTGATGTGCATGGGAGCTTGCATGTACTATATGCATAAAAATCCCATATCAGCCTATAAATAACATTTTTTCACCTTTTTATAATATATTGGAAAATTTGGAACTGAACACATGATTTTTTACCCTTAAACCACTCTTGGGATTTCTGCCTTAAAATTGGAGTGGAACTGCACTAAAAAGGATATTAATGTCGATGTAAATATTCCAAAATCTTATTTTAAAAAAAACATTCAAAACTAAAATGATTGTTCAATGGAACCGTGATTATATCTCTTCTGATAAGGGATCTGTTACAACTAGTTTTGAAACCCCAACTATTTTTGAAAGACTGAAAAAGTAAGGACTTGTTGTTCATTTTTAAAGTTATGCAATTTTTGCCTGGACAGGGTAAATTTAAAGTTTATCTTGAACGGTTTAAGCTGACGTCTTCCAATTTGTGTTATTGAAATCTTAGCGTTCAGGAAAGTGTTTTCCACCTGCTTTTTGACTGTCCATTGCTTGATAAAGCAAGAAATATATTGAAGTGCAGATTAAAATTAATTGGAATTCATTGGCCGCCGAAATGTTATGATCCACTTCGGCCTACCGAGCTTTCAACGATTTTGTTGACTTTTATTTTAAACATTGTAAATGATTTCTTTATACATTTTTATATTTTTGTAGTTATTTATTTTATTTTATTGTTATTGAAATCTTAGCGTTCAGGAAAGTGTTTTCCACCTGCTTTTTGACTGTCCATTGCTTGATAAAGCAAGAAATATATTGAAGTGCAGATTAAAATTAATTGGAATTCATTGGCCGCCGAAATGTTATGATCCACTTCGGCCTACTGAGCTTTCAACGATTTTGTTGACTTTTATTTTAAACATTGTAAATGATTTCTTTATACATTTTTATATTTTTGTAGTTATTTATTTTATTTTATTTCCCCCCCCTTCCGTTGTGTATGATTTCATTGTATTACTGAAAATTGATGTTATTACTTACAGTTTTGCCTTTTTTACTTTCGATTTGTAAAACTTGTGGGATATTTTGTGGTGCACGAGGATTTCTTTTTCTTTAAATAATAATAATTAAAAAAAACCTGTATATTAGTGAAGTGCAACTACACCCATAATACCAATGTTGAAATTCCAATGTCCTGCTCACTTCTACCTGTACCTATTGTTACAGTTTGCTCTTTCCCTATTCCTACAGCTACTTCTTCAGTTTTGTCCTTATTAATGGACCGATGGCTGGTGCATCTCTTTTATGAACATTTGTAAGCATTAAAGATCTGCCTTAAATCTGTGATGTTTTCTTAGTACTGTAATCTTCTCGACTACATATAAATAATAGTTTCATGAGTCATGTAAAATCTTGCGTAAGAAAGGTTGAGTAACATTGAATAAAAGGAGTAGCATTTTTTTAACTCATTTTGGGGTCTGCCTTAAATCTGTCATGTTTTCTTAGCTCTGTGATCTTTTCGGGTACATATAATAGTTCATGAGTCATGTAAAATCTTGCATAAGAAAGGTTGAGTAACATTGAATAAAAGGAGTAGCAATCTTTTGACTCATTTTGGAGAGTTTTCAATCACAGCAGTCTTGATAAGTTAACTTTATCCATTAGACTATCTATACAGAAGTCTAAAATCATCTGGAATCTTGAATGAATCTCTTACTCAGGGCTCACTGTAGTTAGCCATTTTTTAAATATTTCAACAAGGTGGTTAATTTAGAAAACTGTAGTGGTTTATAGACATATATAATTGTAGTTTAAATGGCAACATTATTTATTGATTCTTGGATGGAATGTGCATTTTGGATGTGAAAGACTGGTTGTTAATTTATAGGACAGCTGAGTCTGAGACAAGGCAAAATTTTAAGCTCTTTTATTATCCTGTTAATGCAGTGTATATTTACAAAAAAGCATTATGTGTAACTTTAATATCAAATGTAGGTAGTGTTTTTTCAAATGCAAGCATTGAAAATAGATAAGCAAATGCAAAAGCGAGTATGTTGAAAACATTTACTCTTTTCTGTTTTATTTAATTACTGTTTTTGTTTTAGATTGCCATGTTCATTTGTAACCCATGCTCTGCTAGGATCCTATTTAGTACAATCTGAACTCGGTGATTATGATCCCGAAGAACACGGAAGTAACTATTTATCTGAATTCCGGTTTGCTCCCAATCAGACACCTGAATTAGAAGAGAAAGTTGTGGAGCTACATAAGCAGCACAAGTAATTTGTGCATTTTCCTCTCTTTTGTTCTCTGTGATAATACTTATTAATAAGTTTGTAATGCAATAAATAATGTTTAATATTGATATGAATTGGTTTATAATCCAGTTTGCAGTTGTTCTAGACATTGTGAGTACTGTAAATTAAAATAATGTTTTAATACGCAAAACAGATGGCTTAAAATATTGATGCAATACTCTGGATTATACAGCAGGTCCACAGAAAACCTTACCTGATCTGTAATGTCACACTCCTAGTCAAGGCTGCATACTTTCAATTGCAAAAATACACTCACGTTTGTGAAAATTGCAACACCAAGAAGGAATCGTCATAATTGAATGCAATTTAATACACAGTTGAGTGGTGGTGGTACAAATAAATGATTAAATGTTCAAAGCAAACAAACAAGAACAAGAGATCAGAATCAGTATTTTGTGTGGCCACCACGCGCCGCAATAAGTGCTGCTACACGACGTGGCATGGAGTCAAACAAAGTTTGAATGTCTGACTGAGGAAGAGCATTCCATATCGTTTGTACGTGTACCCAAAGTTCGTCTGCAGACGCAACAGGACGAGGATCACGAGCAAGACGCCGGACCAATGACATCCCACACATGTTCATTTGGCGACATATCCGGGGAACACGCAGGCAAGGAAGAAGCTGTACCTGCTGCGCTGCAAAGAAGGATTTAACAATCCGAGCAGTATGAGGGCGGGCATTGTCCTGTTGAAATACAGCGCCTGGCAAGCTTTGAAGGAAGGGAACAGCTTCGGGGGCTGTAGAACTTCACGGATATACGGTTGCTGTTCAGATTGCCCACAATTCGTAGCAATTGAGATCGTCTATGATATGCTATGGCGCCCCAGACCATAACTCCGGGTGTTCGTCCACTGTGGCGTTCGATAATGCACTCCGGAAGGTGTGGCGTTCACCGACATAGCGTCTGACACGAATGCGGCCATCATGGTACCACAAATTAAAGCGGGATTCGTCAGAAAACACGACATGCTGCCAATCAGCACGCCAGTCTCTATGCTGATTGGCCCATTGTAGCCGCAGGCGGCGAGATGGTCGTGCGTTAGGGGGATCCTGTATAAAGGAGTCCGTGCGCGCAGTCCACACTGCAGCAGACGTCTACGAATTGATGAAAGCCACACAATGAAACACCTGTAGCTATTGACCACAGTGCTGCCAATTGTCTAGAGGAAGCTGTACGGTCCGTCCGCGCCATGCGGACCAGGTGTCTATCATCGCGAGCTGACGTCACATTTCGGGGTCCACTCCCGGATTTCCGAGTTGTCCGACACTCGTCCGTCCACTGCTTCCAAACGCGCATCACTGTGCTGCTGTTACGCTGCACACGAGAGGCTACTGCACGATACGACAATCCAGCTTCACGAAGGCCGATGATTCTCCCTCGTTCAAACTCTGTAAGTTGTTCAAATCTCGCTCTCTTTCGTCGACGAGGCGTAAGTACAGATTGAGTTAACGTTTACCACTAGCAGATAACCCACCGATAACCATACACGCCTCGCTACAGCCGTCTATTTATTCGGATCCATCAGCCGTTCAGAGGGCGCTGCTCAGCATACGCATGCGCTACGGATTTGCAATTCTAATCATTTGCATATCATGCGCTACTTTGCATTTCCTGAAATTTCAGCTCACTCGCGTAAGTCCTTCATGGTGTTGCAATTTTCACAAACGTGAGTGTATTTTAAAAAATAACATGTCATGTTTTCATGTTTGAGTGTCATGTTTGAGTCATGTTTTCTTATATCTGTAATAAATTCTGTAAATATCTTGATTATTAGAACATGGCTGTGTAGATACATAAGATTACATTCACAGAATAATATCTGACAGAATATTGTATAGCTTGATTTTCAGACAGCTTATATAGTGGAGTGGCAAAATGAGTAGTAGCAAGTGAAGTGGAAAAAAGAGTAAGTTAAGGAAAATAGAACTTTTTTTAATATGATTGAATAAGAGCTGTCTGCATTGCAGCAGGATTACATAAGAAAGTATGAAATGGATTAATTTAGAAAAGGTTCAGTTCAGGAAAATTTATTATAAATTATTCCTACTTTTAGAATAGAAGGAAAACATATACAAATTAAAATACAAAAAATATATATAATTCATCATTTGTATGTTTTTTCATAGTTTGTATATGAAAAAACATATACAAATGATGAATTACGCAACATTGCTAATTTAAATTATAATTTTGATTTATGTATTTATTATCTTGCGTATTTCTTCAATGAGAAAAAGGTTTGGCCACAGATTAAAAAACACATTAGAGCATTAGTGAGTGAAGATAAATATAATTTTAAAAAGCATTCGTGAAATTTTGATCTGAGTAATTTTTAAATAACAAAATTTTGTATCTGACACTTTTGATAATAAATGCAAACTTTAGAGTTTTAGTGAAATGTTCAGTAGAATTTAAAAAGTTTGAGTTCATTTTTCTCTCAAAATATTATGTAAGAAAGGCCTATGCTAAATTTTGCAAGAAATAATTATAAAATTTCTCATTTCCTGGATCTCATTTCACTGAATGTTGTTTGAATACCACGTATGATTATTAGTCTTTTTTTGAAAGTATTATATAAAAACTGTTGTATTCAATATAAAACCAAAAAATTTGCTTTACATATTCATGAAATTCTATTAAAATTAATAATTTACTCATTATAAAGAAATCCAGATATTGTAAATCAATGTAAAATGGGCTTTAGCAATTAATAAACATAACAGTAAGAAAATATAATTTAAAAAATTCTGAAAGGTTTCAGATTTTAAATTACATCTAGAGGGGCATTTTTTTTACATTTTGTGTGTTACCTTTACTTATTAAATATCATGTTCTTCGTACTTAAACCATAAAATTCAGTTCAAGAACAATATCGCAAAATTATTTTAACATGAGCACATCTTTAGAATTTCCGATACACAGTCTTGCACGCTGGAGATAAAAATTTTTCTTCTGTACGACGTTGCCATTGCTCGCTTTGAAATCCTTGAGTTTGTTAATTAAAAATTGTTTAAAAGGCTGATAAAATATGAAATAGATAATAAAAAAAATGCCAAATTAGGGCTTCCAGATGCCCATATTCGGTGGAGGATTATGTTATTCAAAATTTGAGGGCTCTAGGTATTATTTTATGTCAATGCGAAACATACGTACACTTATGCAGATTCTTCATTATTTAATTTCTTTAAATATAATACAGGGCGATAATATTTGATAACAACAATTTGAAAAGTGAAACAATGCAAAATGCCAAACCGAAATTAATAGTCCTTCTGGTCAAATTGCTGCTATGGACTAATAACAAAATAAATGTTGATCAAAAATAGGCAAATTCTCACCAGCAAATCAGCATAACTACTTGCTGGTGACTGAGATGCTTAAATACAATAACACATAAAAACTTCCATTCCTTGTAGAAGGTAATTAGTTTTTAGCATTGTAGAGATATATCAAAGTTATTAAGTATGCAATATAAACATAAAAATAAATACTGTGGTTATAGAGATAAAGGAGCATGCCTTGCTCCGTTGTTGCGGATAAATAAGATAACCCAAAGAAGTATTTTTTAGAAGTGCAGAGAGAACAGGACCACTGTCGAGAGGTGCACATTTGAAGAACAATTTTTAATTTGTTATAATGTCTGATTAAAGTTCTTGATTAATATAGTGATAATATTTAATGTGATATGAACAAATAAGATCTGCATCTATTCCATAATAGACAAAAATTCAAATGTATAAAATTTAGACTAAAAACTTGTATGTTTAAGTTGCATCTTGCAAATTTAGAAAAAAAAAAAAAAATTACATTACCTCAAAATAATAACATGGACCTTGTAAGCATTTATATTTTTATTAGTTGAAAAATTAATAAATTTCTTGTTCATTATGATAATAGAATATTTTAAATTAATAAATTAAAAATTATATTAAACAAATACCGTATTTGACAGCATATAAGACACACTTTTTTTCCTAAATTTGGTCTCAAAAAAAGTTATCTGCGTCTTATACGTGAAGGACACAGGTTAACTTTCAATACTGAATGCTGTTTTTAGCCTGGATAAAGGTAACTTGATACATAACATAACTTTTCCTACATCTACATGTGTGTGGCCTTCTAAATAAGGATGCATCTTATATGCCAGTGTGTCTTATATACTGTCAAATATGGTGCTGAGTTATAATGCTTTTAAATTGTAACAATATTTCACTTCACTCTCTTATTTTTACCTCTCTTTCTCTCTTTTTTTAACTTCCTGAATTAATTTTAAAGACCATATGTAATGTGTTCACCCCATAATTCTTATTTTTAACCCTAAAAACGAATGTGTTTCTCTTCACTCAAAGACATTTAATTGATTAACATGATGCTTTTGATCGAAATTCGAAGCAAATGAGTTTCGTATGCAATACTTTGGATTTAAATTCAAAGCCAATAAATTTTTCACACAGCACTTCACTGAAACGATCACTGGCCTTGGCTCTAGTGCTGAATCACAAATTATTTCGAGAACGCTTTTTCTTTTCTAAAGTAAGTTTCATTAGAGTTTTACGTGGCAGGTAAACATTCTAGTCAACTTAGTATACTGTAATAAATTCTGCAAATATCTTGATGACTAGAAGGTAGTTGCTTAGATACTTAAGATGAAATTCATAAATACAGGTATACAGGCTACAGTTTACCTTATCTATGTGAATCAAATGTTGTTTCATACTAATTAATTGGTGCTCTAAAACTTTCTTTTTGGAAATATTGCTCTATCTCTTTTCATTTTCGATTTGCAATGACTATCTTCCAAATTTTGCCACTAGGGGGCACTACTGTCGTTTGCATTAGGTGGGGCGTAGTCACTTTATTATACTGTTACCTCACTTGCATAGTTGTAGTTCTCTCCATTCGCAAGAATTTTCATGTTAAAGAGACTTTTCTGTGTACCCTGTGTATATATATAATGTTCTTAAACTTACATTTAGGAAAATTTTGTACTGAGAAAAAATAAAACACAAAATAGCTTGTTTTCCGAATGACAAAAATTGACGAAATATTTGGTATTAAACTCGAAAATCATATTCAGGGGCTATACACAAATCCAAGAGAAAAATGTATATATGTAACTAAAGGTAACATATTGGTTAGAAAAAGGTTTCTGATGTTAAGAGATTATGTGATGAGTATTTTTATGCAGATTATTGAGAAAAATATTCATCAATATAAATTTTATTTCAAAATGGGGATTTCATTCACAGAATCTTATGCAATTTGCATTTCTGGAAAACACTGACAGGCTTCAGTATAGGCACATAGCCAACTCATTATTATTTGGATTAAGTAAAAATGGCCCAACAGCTGCTGAGCAGTAAACTCACTGAGCACTGGTAGTTTGGTCCGAGGTTTAAATCCCATGAATGGACTGGCTGCATGAGCATTTTCATAGTTTTCCCCATGTGTAATATGTATAGGACTAGTTTCACTTAGGAAGTCTTCCATGAAGGCATCCATCCCCTTAGTTAGATAGCCCTCGAGGCTTTGCCATAATCATGTAAACCAAACCAAGCAATTTAATTAAAAATGAAAAATATTTGTACTTTTAACTAATTTTTTTTTATGATTACCAGTTTATAATTCTAAATTTAAAAAAAGAAATTCTTAAGAATATTATTAGCATATTTTTAGTCTTTTGGAAAATTATTTTATAGTTTGGAATATATATATATTAGGATAATTGAGTTTTTTGAATTTTAGGGGTCAAACACCTGCTGAAGCAGAGCTTCATTATTTAGAGAACGCAAAAAAATTGGCCATGTATGGTGTCGACTTGCATCAGGCAAAGGATTCTGAAGGCATAGATATAATGCTTGGTGTATGTGCATCAGGTTTATTAGTGTACAGAGATCGACTGCGAATCAATCGATTTGCCTGGCCTAAAATTCTCAAAATATCCTACAAAAGGAATAACTTCTATATCAAAATACGACCAGGCGAGGTAAGATTTTTTTTCTTCTTGAGGTGTTTTGTAAAAATTAAAATTGGAGTATTTTCTAGATTTAGACTCATATTTTACCTTGAAGGGAGACCACATTAGGTTTAATCAGAAAATGCTAAAACTTTTTAAAATTAATGGTGAAATTATTATAATATAATTAATACAAACTATTCTATAACTTATGCATTATCTGTTTTAATAAAACATAATGGTGAGGTTTCATAAAATTAAATCCAAAAGAATTTTTGATATCAGTAAGAAATGATTAGATAGAAATTTTTGACAACTTCTAGAAACATAACATTGTTTTACATTCACTGTGTGTATGTCACATCATGTGCTAGATGAGGTCTTTAATATTTTTTGAATAATTCTTGATTTTTGGATCTGAATAAGAAAAGCAACTTTGAGTAATACAATTTAATATTTCTAATAGCTTAAATCAGCGTGCTCACTGAGCTACGTAATCATTCACTGCTTTTGTTATTATATATGTGGGGAAAGGCAACGACCATAGTTGATAACACACATTTATTACTATTTACAAATATAGGCTACATTAGGATTACAATTAATGAAAATGGTATACGAGCGATCGGGTGACGTCTGCTCCGCTCGCCAGCTAATCCTCGTCTTCCCCTGAAGGCTGGAAACACATGGTGATGCAATGCATACGTCACACAGTAGAGGATTAGGAAATATCATGACATAACATTTCCCACATTTGGCCATCATGACCGGACAGGCGACCTCGCCTGAAGCAACATAATAATATCATCAAATCAAAAAAAAAAAAAATATTATAATATAGTAACATAGGTATGAGAAAAAAAATAATCTGTAGATACAAAGCTGAGGATACTTACACAAATGGAGCACAAAAAATAGATTAAACACACCACAGCAGTTAACTAAAAATAAAAAGAACATTAGTATGACAAAATGAATTAAAAAGTTGATATGAGGAAAAAAATATTAGAAAGTTCTCAGGTGTCATCTGTCCAAACTCAGAGGACCTATCATGCTGACAGTTGTATAAAAATCAAGTGATACGTTCAATATTGTTGGACCAGGGCTTCATGTATTCAGCACAAGTGGATGTTTTGGATGGTCGTCGAAAAATGCACACTTTTCCACATCATATGTCTCATTTTGTTTGAGCCTGGTGACTTTATAAGGTCCAAGAAATTTCTGTTTGAGTTTTAGACCAGGGCCAAACTGAATTCGTTTGATAGCCACGAGGTCATGAAGTTGAAATTTTTGTGCCTGTTTTCGTCACAAATTATAAGTACGGTGATTTTCGTCTTGCACTTTAGAGATTTGCTGTTTTGTGTCCTTATGGAGATCGTCACGTTGCTGAATGAATGCAGATTTGATCTCCTCGTCGATTAGAGCAGCGATGTTGATGTCGTTTTGCGATTTCATCTTAGTCCCAAAGAGAAGTTCAAAGGGGAGTAGAATTGATGCTACGTTGAAAAGTTGAATTAATAATTTGTTGCACGCGGCGGGAACATGGCGGTACCATTGCTCGGGTTGGTTATGGAGAGTTTAGAAAGGACCAGCAATAATAATGGAGTTCAAACGCTCAACTTGACCGTTCGATCGTGGGAGGCCAGCTGTAATAAGAATGTGCTTTATTCTCTGTGTGTCACAATAGTTTGCAAATGCAGTGGATTTGAATGCAGGGCCTCGATCAGAGATAATCCGTGAAGGATTTCCGAAGACTGATCTTTGAAATTCCAGCCGACTGATAACTGCATCTGCGTCTGTAGACTTTGTCAGATAAAGCCACACGAATTTAGTAAACGAGTCTATAACTGTCAAAATATGTTTGTATTTCTTTGATGTGGTGGCAAGGGGACGTAAGTGGTCGATATGGTACGTGTGCAAGGGTGCGTCGTCGTTGTCAATGGGGTGCAGAAGTCCGTCTTGTTTGCCATTGCTTTCGATTATTGAGGATGCATGGGATGCAGTTATGGATACACCGCTCAATTTTTTCTTTCAGATTTGGGATAAAATATTCGTTGTTTAAAAGTTCTTGAGTGCGGATTACAGCGAAGTGGCCTCGTTTGTGAGCTGTTTTAAGGACATTTGCCTGCATATCCTCAGGCACCACAAGTAAGTCAATGCCGTTGACATTTTTGTGCAGGAGATTGTTCTTAATGAGAAAGTTATCATACGAAGGCGTTGTTTGAAGGAGTGCTTTAATAGCCGTAATATGCTCGTCGGTTTCTTGTGCTTTGCAAAATTGGAGAAGGACACTGTCTTGGATAGTCATGCAAGGTAGGCTGCGACTGAGGGCATCCACGTGAGCCATCTTTGAGCCGGTACGGTGCTCAGTTTCATAGTCAAAATCCTGGAGATATAAAACCCATCGGGCTATTCTCGAATTGAGTTCCTTTTTATTTAAAGTTTGCACAAAAGCGTTGCAGTCAGTGATAATTTTTAAATGTGAACCAAGGACGTAAATACGGAACTTTTTTAAAGCTTCAACAATTGCAAGGACTTCGAGTTCATAACTGGTGTTTTACGCTCATTGTCCGATTTTCTTTGACATGTAGTGACAGGGTGAAAGCGGTGAAAGCTGTATTGTTCATAGATTTTTGTGGTAGGACTGCCCCCAAGCCATCAATGGATGCGTCGGTATGAATTTCGATAGGACTCTTTTAATCAAAATAATTAACCCTTTAACTGTCAAGTTATTTTGATGATTTGGGTACACAAATGTCAAATTTTTTATTGCAAAAACCAAATGTTTAGTACAAAATAAAATCTACTTAAGTAGTTAAAAATTGATATTTTGACGTACATGGGTAAAATTTTTTAAAGTTTTGTAGCCACTGCATATTTTCTTTGAGGCAGCTGTCACTCAACATGGCAGTTGCAAAGTTCGCTTCTAGTGGAGCATTATTTTCTAAAAATGAAAAAAATTAACTATTTTCTAAAACATAAATAAATATAAGTGAATACCTATTAGTAGTTCAGTAATTCAGTCTTATGTGGTACAACTGGAAACACTTTTCCAAGCACAAACCAACTCCACAATCACTACACCAGAATCGTGATTCCTTCCTTATCTTTTCCCCATTTTTATCCTTTTTCGAACAACTCACTTTGCACTATCTCGTAGGCTCACGTTTCGCAGGAATAGGAGGAAAATGGGATATAAAATGTCGTTCAGTAAGACGGGCAGGGTTATCTATTGTAGGTGGTCTGCCAACATTCTTTTGTCCAGAAGCTGCATCATCATATTATGTAAAAGCTCTTCTACAACTTGGATTCGAAATTCTAAAAATGTAATACGTTTCCCAACTACATTTTTATAGAGCAATATGAGTTCCAGAGTACCTTGTCTAGTAAATGTAAAAGTATCTTTTTATAATATTTTATCTGACGTTTTCGAATTGTTGGATGAAAGGATATTTCCTGATCACAGCGATCTACACCACCCATAGTTAGACCGTAATTAGAAACAATCTTCGGCTTGAGTATATCTCCATTTTTTATTTTTGAGGCTGACCATGGAAGTATCATGAATACTGCTCATCAAACACACATCCTTCATCTTCGGTTGAAGAATCTAAATCATCTATATAACGTTTCAAAGAACTGGACGCTATTTTACAACAAAAAGAAACCATGCACCTTGAACAAAATAACCTCTAACCTTTGAAATCTTCAGTAAAGTGCTGTCATCTATTGAACTGAGCGCACATTAACTTTTCCCGAGATACAGTCGGGTTTGACAAAGAGATGAAGCCGAAATAAACGTCTCCCGATATATATTTGGGTATAACAATACGATGCTCTCCAAAAAAAATCACCCCGAGTAATACTCAGGCGTGACATTTTCGAACACTAGTGCTGTGCCTGAGATTATCTCGGGCATGACAGTTAAAAGGTTAAAACTGGTTGTTGAGAAAGCAATATTTTAATTTCTGAAATGAGGTTTTCTGATCAGCATGAATTTGAAAGGGGGCGTCCTTACGAAGGAGATTACTAAGGGGTTTTGCAATGCTAGAATATGAGGGGATGAATTTCCTAAAATATCCCGTGAGACCGAGAAAGCGTTGGACGTCTTTTGTACTCTTAGGTTCAGGGTAGTTAATTACAGATTTTGTTTTCGAAGGGGAAGGAAAAAGTTTACCACCTTCAACGATATGTCCAAGAAATTCGATTTTTTTTTTTTTTTTTTGAAGAAATTGACATTTACGAAAATTAACTTCTAGACCATATTCACTAGCAACTTTGAGTACTTGATTGAGACGATGAATGGCCTCATTTTCATTCTTTGGCGGGAATAACTACATCGTCCATGTAGGGTAAAACATAACCTTTGACAATTAAATTCACGAAAAAGATAATTTATAAAGCACTGGAATACTGAAGGGCAATTTGAAAGACCAAGTGGCATTCAAAGAAACTGGAATTTTGTCATTGTGAGTTACAAAAGCTGTATATGGTTTACTTTCATCCACTACTAGCACATGAAAAAAGTCGTTACGTAGGCTCAAGAGTACTAAAAATTTGGGCGTCTTGAAGTTTATCCAAAATGTCATCAATAAGAGGAAGAGGGAAATGATCCTTAATTAAAAGTCGATTAAGTTTCCTATAATCGATGCAAACACGGGGTGTACCATTTTTTTGTACCATCTTTTTTATGCACCACGAGAACTTGACTGGCATATGGAAGATGAACAAGGTTCAATAAGTTTTAAGTTTCAACCATTCACTTATTTGTATGTCAACAATTTCCCGTTCAACAAAAGGAAGGCGTCTAGGAGGGTGAAAAATCGGTTTATCATCGGATAGAGTGATATTAAGTTTAATATCTGTCGTCTTTGTTTTAATTTGGGACATAAGAATTCAGCAAACGTTCTGCCACAGCACGAGTTTCTTTGGAAACATTTGAACCAATATCAAAAGCTGGAACATCGTCATTTATTGCAAAAATGAAGGATTCAGGAGCAGTTTCAAAGCATTGCTCGGAAGGTTTTGAA